TCTTTAATTCAGGAATATACCGAAAAATATCGCAGGAAGCATAGTAAGCTTGACTTAAAATCTATTCCTTAATCAAGGGGTTTTGGAGTCTCTGGGGCGTCGTTGGGTTTCATTTAGATTCTTTAAGGGGGCTTGGGGTTTCGGGTTTCAATATTCAGGGTGTAGGGTTTAGCAAACTGTTGCTGTAGGGTTTAGTGTTTAAGGACAGACTCTAAACCCTAAACCCCTAAAATGGTGTGTTTCTGTTGGTTCTTTAGGGTTTAAGGTTTAGGGACATGTTGGATTCAATTTGTCTGGTTTGAGAGGGTTTGGTGTGTCGGGCCTTGCGACATTGCGTAAGGGCTTTAGGGGTTTCCATTTGGGGGAGTCCATTCTGTTCTGAAGCTCCCAACATGGATCGAAAGGGCGGAACCACGAGCCGACTACCACACAAGTGCTAAGGCGCAGAGGATTCGCTTGTTTTAGGGTTTAGGGTTGAGGGTTTTGAGTTTTGGGTTTAGGGTTCAGGGTAGGCATGTCGGCACAAGATTGTGATCTGCAGGAGGCCCTCGAACTTCTTAACGTTTGAGGCGTCCTAGCGGCGTCTGGAACCCCCTAAACTCCATCAACATTATTAAGTTCTTAGGCCCTCTGAAACTGGCTGGCGCTCAGCAACAGCTTGTGCTTCTTGCTCAGCAAGGTGGGCACTGTATCGTAGCGTTGGTGCTACACCCGTAAATGTGCTCCAAACCCTGTTTTGCTTTTGAAATAGTAGAACGCTAGACCAAGCCTTCGGCGATCTGAAATAACACCCTTACACAGCCAGGGCTTCTAGGGCGGAATGAGACAGCTTTGGGGTCCCAGAATGAAGTTTAGGGCTCCTTTAAGGGATTTGGGTTTGATGCAATCAGGTCCGCCATCGGGTGCATGGGCAGAAGCTGAGGCACGCAGTTTGGGAATGGCCGGTTTGGATTCATATCGGGTTTCTTAGTGGTAGAGTAGGTAGCCTTGAACCAGCCTGGAGGTGAACCCTATACCCCCGGCTAAACCCCAAACCCCGGCCCCAAACCCGTGGAGGGCTTCTTAGTAGTACCGCAGGTAGACTTAAACTTGTTGAGCTACTTTCATCCCTCTGTGATAGCCCAGAGGTTACGGTTCTTGAAGAAGAAAGGTACACCGAAGACGGGAAGCCCTGCACGTCTATTTCTGTCAGCGGTAGCACGCTAAGGGCTAGGCATGCGTTTTGGCAACAAGCTTCGTGCGATACTGCATGGGAATGTCCTGTCCACTTATATTCTTCCTTTTTCAAGACGCAAACAAGGCTCCCGTGTCACGTTGCATGATGCCGTGTGCAGCGTTGTTGTTTATGGGCTGATTGGGGCAGCAAGCTTAGCAAGCGAATCATAAGTAAGCAACAGGGGATGAGGTTCCATGCCGGTCATTGCAGCTATTTGCAGGAAACGTTCCATGGGTATCTTATAGATGCCTTGGTATTTACATATATGATTCCTTAGGGTTCCTTTATATGCTGTACTCGACAAAACCTACTCGTTAAGGCCCAGATGTTGGGATAATATTGGAGCCTAAATCATTAACTATACTATTTTGGGAGTTCCTGATGATGATTCTAGTATAAGTATAGTATACTATGCACCAAAACCCTGTTCTAATTATTAAGGTCCCTCATATAGAACCCTGTCATAGATCCCTTATAGAATCCTTTTTAAGGCCCCTACAGTATGCAGTGCCCGTGGCTGTTGGTCCTTTGAGCTGGCTACTTAAAGGATCATGGGACGTAGTAAGTAGGGTTATAATTAAGGTAACTGTACTTATATATACTTATCATCCCAACTAAGGGACTTATAACCTTACTTACTAAGGCCCATTATCCTTTAAGTAGGGTTTAGGCCTGGGGGATCTTGGGGCTCTTGCTTTGGGGTTTGGGGGTTTAGGGTTTCGGGGCTTATGTAGGGTTCAGGGGTTTACATAGGGTTCGTTTAGGGGTTTATATAGGGTTCGGGGGTTTATATAGGATTTAAGGCTTTAGGGCCTTAGGTTCTGGCTTTGGGGATTAATGGTTTGGAAACCCTAAACCCTAAACCCTGAGTTGTGGCTTTGCGTTTAGGGCTTCGGGTGTCTACTTCGACCCTACAAAGCTCAATCCTACCCTGAGCCCCAGACGCCTTAAAGAAGACGTCTCGAAGCTTCCGTAGAGTCCCTGAGAGACTTGATATAGGGGCCTTACGAATTAGAATAGGGTTTCGGGGCCCAGTATACTATAATGGTAATAATAGTAAGAAGAATTACAATAACAATAATATTATAGTAATAATAGGGAACCTCCAAAATAGTAATCTAATTATTAAGGCCCCTACATTATTAGTATCCTAAAACCCCCCAAGCCTCATCGAATCATTCTTCCTTGATTTAAGGAACCCTGAAAGTAGCTTCGAAGGAACCACATTCTGATGCTCTTGCATACAAGAACTCTTTCAAAACAGAGATATAAGGCCCTCGACTGGATTTCTCTTATCGACTGTTGCTGCATGGGGGGGGGCAGTACCCAACCTATGTCATTATAGCCTCAGAACCTCTCTTCTGATCACTGACCCTTTTACAGGAACCAGATTCTAATCCTAAACTAAAACCTAAACCCTGAAACCTAAA